TCAGTCTCGTTTATCCGACAAAGTGATCAGCGTACTCCGTGGTCATCTGCCTGCGAGTACACAGCACGTGTTTTGATGCGAGACGAATCGGCTGGTAGCTGCATATTACAACGGTTGCAGAGATAAACTTGCTTAAACAATAAACAATAAATGCTTTAAATAAAAAGAAAACAGGATAAATCACATGCTTAGATTACCTCAATCTTAAAATCAAGTACAAGTTCTCGCTCTCGACGAGGACATCCAATTACAGGTCACGTCAGAACAACCTTTCGCGAACTATGACCTACCAATGAAATGACCAACAGGAAGTCGACGTTAGCCACTTAGAAAGCAGCTTTCTTAAGCTTTGGGTACCAGTTCCAAAGTTGCGACTTCCATTCCAGACTATGCTTTTTAAAGTATTTTGAATATACGTAAGTGTATATACGTAATTGTATCAATCAAGTCACCGAGCCTGACCACCCGACTGTTTAGTCTGTCGACAAGCATAGTACATGTATACACGATTGCTGGGGATCAATTCTTACAAGGAGGCTTTATGTAATAATTGCACTGTTTGTTAAAATCCAACTGACATGGCACATGTTTATTTATTGTTGAAGGTAAAATGCCCAAGTTTCAAAGGGTTACCCTGTCACTGTGTCAAGGATGGGTGGCTATATGGGATGAAAGTAGAACATCCAATCGTTGTTAAAGATACAGAATACGTAACGATAAATTAAAATATACACCTCGTGATATATACCAGACAGCGCGTCATGGAAACCCTGTTCATTAATGCATGGAGAGCGACTGGTCCAGGGAGCGGTATCGCTTACTCAGATGTCTCTTAAGGGTACAGGTGAGTTCTGATTTATGCAGTGTTCTAACGTTCACACGAGAACACACAGGCGATTAACGTCCCCATTGCTCTGCTCCAAGGAACGCAGCCATTCTGTACAGTATATTTACGAACGCGGCGGTTATAAGATATATAAATAACTACAGATTTGTGAAGGGTATTCAGGGCGCGGCCCACCATTATGATGCTGTTTCATGTTAGCAGCTGTTGAAAGCCATTAGGAAACATCTACCTGCGCAGTCTGTAGCACGTATATTATATGTTACATAGATGTTGCTGTGTTAGCTTACAGATTTGCGGTTAAGGTGTCAGAGGGGAGACGATGCTCTAAACAATTTGTATTAGCAGGAAGTCTATTCCTGAAACAAGCTATGCAATGTGGGGCACGGCATTGTAAACTTGTATTTTATGATGTCTCGGAAATTCATTTATTTTGCGATACCATCTCAATTTATCTGGAAGGTGCCCATCATTGTAAGAAAGAAAATGAGATAAAATATATACACCTTGTCAAAAGTATAGCACCACTACGATTTTTTTAATTAGAAAAGAGATGGGTAAGGAGAATCTGGAAAGGGAAACGAAAGCCGATAAAAGTGTAGCTTATTGTCAAATAAGACGTTAATTTTATGAATAATAGGAAAAATAAATATTTGCGGGGAAAAATCAGCCTTTATTCGCCAGCGAATATACAAAGGGCAGCGACGTCTAGAGGCAGTATAAGTATGGTAACTGCCAGGAGTGAGATGGACAGATCCACACAGACGTGTCTTAGTTACATTGCACCCATGTCACAGTTACATGATCAACAGTGTAAGTCATAATCTGATGTACACGGATCACATCCGCAAGACGTCTCCTCGTGCTCAAATCAGACGCCTGATCCTCAGCCGAGGGAAGTGTTGCCATTCCTGGGTCAATTTTTGGAGATTCTGTACTGGAGAGTCCCTGGCTCTAACCCTACGTCCCAACTGATCCCATAGATGCTCGATTGGATTCAGGTAAGGGCTTCGAGAGGGCCAAGGCAGAGTCTCAATGGCGTTGTACTGGAGATGGCCAGTAATCGGTGTCCTCCATGAAGACAGGACGTGTGGCAAGTGCGTGGTTATCAAAATGAGGAACAATATAACCGTCCAATATGGCATCTTGGTACCTTCATTCATTTAATGTCCCCTGAACTGTGACCAAATCAAGTTTACAATCAAAGGAGCAACATCCCTATACCATCACTGAACCGCCACCACATGCCACTGTTTCCTGGACGTTGCGCTGATGATATATGTTCCTCTATGCCTCCAGACACGAGGCCTGCCATCAGTGTGGTACAGTGAAAAACGACTCCCGTCACACCAATGAATCCTCCATGGCTGCTGCATTTAGTCCATGCCTGGTGATGCAAGAGACACCCTGTTGTGGGGCCATGCCAATGGTGACAGGAGAACATTTCAAGCTGGTGTCCGTTTTGCCTGGCGTAAAGGACCCTGTCCCCACTGGCACTGGTCTTCCGTGAACGCAATGATCTCGGCAAGTCCCTCATATGGCCAGTCAGTGGGTGTTTTCTAATCAGTCGATTGATGACAGTATGATTAATGTTGAACACAGTGGCAATAGCCCGACACGACATGCCAGGTTGATGTATGCCAGTGGTTTGCCATCTTTGATTTTCTTGGATATAGTATGCTTTGGCATTTCAGTTCAAATCGTTCAAAAGACAGACTTTCAAATTGGTAGAACTTTTATTCAAAATTAATAGCAGTAAAGACACATGAACTTTCTGTCATTAAACATGAATTTATCTAGAGACCCCTTTGGTGTGCATACGGTTCGCACAAGGTTGGGCAGTTAAGGTGGCTACCATTCTACAGGCAGATGATGTGTCAACACACAGTGTACTATTTGAAAATCTTTACATTGAAAATAAAATGTCAAACTTGGTGGTGCGATACTTTTGATGAGGTGTGTATAGGAAATGTCAACCCTTCAGAGAAACTTCACTGAAGACAGCCCATTGTAATGACGTAATGTAATCACTTTGTGACGTCATATTGTATTTTCCTGTATACGTCTTTGCTTCAGCTGACCAATCAGGATTAGGAATCGCTTTATGCACATGTGCAAATATCGGAACGTTCTTACACGATCATTCTACACTTCTTGGTAACATATATATTTATCACCCACACCTGATTTCCACGGGATATATCGGTTGGGTGAGATCAAGTAAGTGCATCACAAAGCTTTGCAGAACATTGTGACGTCTATTGTTACCATGACGTCCCAATCCAATGACATCACGTGCCTGGTTAGCGATATTTTTCTTACATTTAAGGCGCTGCTTATTACTATTTACAAACTATGGTAAAAAAACTATTTAAAAAAAGTTGTTGGAAGAATAGTTTTGTAAGGTAAATAGAAATTTATCATCGTGTCTTTTGATATCAAACATATCAACACTCCTCGATACAAGGTTAAAACGGCTCAGCAAGTATTGAAGTTTTAAACAGTTAGCAACTCGTGTTGATATATTTGGTATATCAATAGACACTTGGGTATGACGAAACTATCTTCGTGTGCCGAAACAACACAGGTGACATCCTAACAAGGATTGTGGAGTTGTCCCCAAACAGCTGTTACAAATACCATTTACGTTTAAACATAGTACCTATTCATCTTGAGTAACGGGCATGGTTTGGGGAGGGTTGGAAGATAGGTTTAATATTGTCATTTAAAAATAAATATAAATTCATATAAATGCTATGATTAAATTATATATTTTCTTATCATTTTTAATAACTTCATCTATAGGGCGGGCACCCATTTGATTTGTTGCGGGAAGGATGATATTTTTAGAACAAAATATTTATTTACACAAAATGTTTGATATTTGGGTATGTTCCACACAACCAACTTTTAATGTTTTGGTCATCACTCCCAACAAACTGTTCATTGTGGACATATTTCTGAAGAAACTTTTCATTTATGTACAACGTAGTGAGGACAGAGCAGCACATCCGTATAGGGGCAAATTTCATTGTTTAACAATATCCAAATGAATTTATGTCTCATGTTTATGCCGATACCCCTCTCCCCACCTCTCTCTCAACCAATCCACCATGCCACGGAGCCTGCATTACTACCTGATTCATACAGTCAACTCTTACGGCCTGCAAGTAGGTTGCTGGGGACCTCATTCTTATTGAAATTAGAACTGATACTCCGATACGATACCTACCCTCTGCGTGAACCACACAGGCATCCTACCGGGCATACTGTAAAACCTAGGGAGGGATGGGGTCTGGGGTCTTGCCTGGGGTTATGGGCTGGGGTTTCTTGTATTAACAGATGAAATATGTAAACAAAACCCAGAAACTGTGATGGGATCTATCCCAGTGATAGCCCAGCTGCAGGAGAATCCGGAGTCTGGACCCATTATGGCAGCAATCACAGATGCTGGATTTTTCTAGCAGACGACATTTTCATTTGACAGCTTTGAAATATGTACAGGGTAGCCAATGAGAAAGATTTTGAATTCTTCAGTTTTATAAAAATTCAGTGAAATCATTCATGGATATAGTAGTGGTATAGCTATGAACTGTATTTTATCTAAAGGAAAAATAATGTACTTTACATATAATGGAGATAAACATTGATACATTATGATATATTCATAACAATAATAAGCTAGAAAACTTATTCAGTTGCAGTCTTCATCAAAGTGTTAATTTATTATAAATATCTAGTTGTATCCTACATAGCTATATGTGCGTCACTAATCACGTCTTCGTTCTCAGCTTTAGACAGAAAACATGATGTGAACCCAAACAAGTCTATGACCCCAGCCCAAGACCTCGACCCAAGATCCTAGACCCACCCCACCCCACCCCAAGTATACAGTATGCCTCCAACCGGAGTGAAAAGATCTGACTTGAATGATATTGCTAGGGATCCTATTGGTATTTGATATGGTACAGTAACGTATTTGTAGTCATACAAAACAGACGTGACACAACAAAGCTAGTGTCAGCGATCTCTTTCACCTTGTACTTCCGTCGAAATCTTCTTGTTGGGACGTGCACGAAAACTTCCCCTTAAAGGTCTTCATGCGTGCTATGTCACACTCGCGTCTACAGCCGGGGGGAATTCTATACAACTTTAAATGAGCAGCATTTATTCATATTATCCTCACGAATAGAAAGAGAGTTACATTGAGAAGAAAGCGAGGAGTGCTACGTGTACATGGCATACCTCATATAACACGGACCAGCGACCATGTAGAGCCAGCCGCTTAAACTCACTTCAGTTATATAAACGGTAAGTCCGTCTGAGTGAATATTTTTTAACAAAGTAGTCCAACTCACGTCTAGAATGATTGGGCAAGTCTATTGATTGTTTCAGCCTGAAATTTATCATTGTTCCGGGCTATTGTTTTTGTATTTTTTAGATATATATTGTTAAATAGGATACGTTTATTTCTGGGACTAAATGTTAGTGTAATAAACAGTTAGCTTGCAAAGATGCACTCACTGTCTGCGCTGTAATAATCCAACATGCGACTGACACAAATAATATGCGAAAGGCAGGAATGTCGACCTGATTTCTTAAATAAATACTTTACGTTTCTAAAAAGGGATTTGGATGATGTATACTCATACACAAAGGCCCGTTGATCGTTGTTTAGTAAACAGAGATTGTTGTCTGTGGCATATCAGGCCTGGGCACATGGTGTCTGTCTTGTAATTCAGGCCGAGATTTTATTTCCACTCTCTCATTTATATCAGCCTTGAAGTCCATGGTTTACTTGGCTGTAAGCTGTTCACAAAGGAAGTACTTAGCTTTTCTGTAAAACCAGAGACCATACAATATATTTATTCTATGGTCTCTTGTAAAACAAAGTCGATTCTGGATAAAAATCAAACATACAAACAAATTTACATACTTGAACACCATGTTTCATTTCGTGAACGTTTCATATCCAAGGTCAGACAATGTTTCTGCAGTGAGCGATATTTATGGATAATTTAACATTCCGTTAGATCTGATTAGAATCTTGGGGCATGGTAATGACTGTACATTAACCCTTGTGGTTATCAAATGTTGCGGTGTGTGAAAGGCGATGGGTTCCAACATATAGCCAGCTACAATAACACAAAATGCGTTGGCTTTGATTACTGTAATTAGTTTTTCGGGTGTTTCCATAAATTAAAATAAATATATATATTTTTACAGATTTAACATACTAAACAAAAATGGAAAAAATTATTGGGTTATTCCCTTTTGTCCCTGCATCAGGAGAGAGCTCATTGGAGAGGTCAATTTGTTCTGAGAAATAGTTTTGGCAAGGTCGGTACTCCAGACCTCAATCATCTTCCCGAGGCAAGGGAGTTAGTTACCTGACTATAAACGTCCAGTTTTCAACATTACGGAACTAGGCTGAAATTTCCAGGCTCGATCGTAGCGCCACCAGTGGCTATTACGAGTTACATCCCTTCTATATCCCTCCCATTGACCAATCAGATGCCATCTCTCACATCATTTGCATTTGCTTCCGTATAAGGTGACTATGCTTGTCGTAAGAGGCGACTAACGGGATCGGATGGTCAGGCTCGCTGACTTGGTTGATGCATGTCATCGTATCCCAATTGCGTGGATCAATGCTCATGATGTCAATCACTGGATTGTCTGGTCCAGACTCGATTATTTACAGACCGCCGTCATATAGCTGGAATATTGCTGAGATTGGCGTTAAACAACCAATCAACAAACAAACAATCTTATAGACCCCTTAGGTGTGCATACGGCTCGCATAAACGCACCCACAAGATCGGCGGTTAGGCTACCATTCCACAGGCGGATGATGTGTCAACACACAGTGTACCATTTGAGAATCTGGAATATTGCTGGATGCGTCGTTAAACAACAAATAAACAAACGAACAAAGCATCTGCTTCCAACAAAATGGCGGCGCCCTGTCAAGACGATCTGATCGATAATCAAGAACTATGTTGTAATATAACAGGTTTTACCTTGCGACGTGCATCAAATCATTTGAGCACCTTGATTAAAAACATGAAAAGATTTGGAAAATATCTGTCGACGCCCAAAAGACAGTACACATAAATTGCAAATCCCGCAGTCGTCGGAAATCTGCACAATCAAATTCATGTTGTTTACGAACCGGATGTCTAGTTCGTTACGTGATTTTGACTGGATTATATATAGACTGGTTAGTCCAGCCAAACTCCGGAATTCCAGCGTAGTTCGGCAAGGGTTGAAACTGGACTTTTACAGTCAGTTAACTCCCTTGCCTAGGGAAGATCTACCTCAATATAATTATCTGTTCGTGATAAAAAAAAAAAAATAACACCAAAGCAAACAAAAAGATCGATAAACGGAACAAAAATGAAGAATATAGCTAAATCGATTCTTGTATCCCCAAAAGGGTTAACTGATAACATCAGCGGCCTTGGGACCTTACTTCCTGGCTCATAAAGCTTGGTCGCCAAATAAAATAACCTTGTGGACAGAATGAACACACCGTGACATGTAATGTACACCTTGTTGAAACTGGAGATTATATGTGCAGAACTCTACATGCAACGTGAGTATGAAATATACATGATATAAGTATGACCGGGGTTCTAACCATAGCTAATACATCCCAGTTTTTGAGGTGGGGTTTAGAAGTGTTCGGGATTTATTTTTTGTTTTGAATATTTGACTAGTCTGAATTGATATTTTTGCCTGTATGTGTTTTGACGCATGTCTATGTTAAGAAATATAAATACATAGATATTATATATTGCTTGATTGTTATAGCATTCCGTAGCAGTCAAATGTAATATTACATGTTAACGTGAATTGTATTATGTATTGAAAGGACCTCTCCACGATTTACGAAGGGGTAATGGGGTACAAACTAAACATTATAGTCACTTTATAAAACTATTTTGGAGGGAAAATTAAGAGAGAGAGAGAGAGAGAGAGAGAGAGAGAGAGAGAGAGAGAGAGAGAGATGTATCAGGTGGTTTGTTGGCAGTGATGACAAAAAAAGAAGAAGTTTCTTTTGTGGAAGATACCCAAACGTAATACATTTTGTGTTTATAGTGATAATGAATACATTGTTTCGTGGTGCTCAGTAAATAAATATATTGTTCTAATGAAATCCCTCCCCCCCCCCCCCCCCCGCCCCTACAAATCAAATGAATGCTCGCCCCATATCAAATATAATAAAGAAAGACAATATTAAAAGAAACTGTTTCCGTTACTCTAGATAAACAGCTTCTATGTTTGTACGTAAGTATTATTTGTAACAGCTGTGTTGGGATAACACCACAATCCTTGTTCACATTTCACTTGCGTTGTTTCGCGCACACGAAAATATTTTCGTTATTCGTATTCCGCTAATAAAGCCAATACAAATTTTTGTATCTCCCTTCCTTCGTTTGCGTTGTCACTAAGTGGAGGCCACAGGTATACAGGGGATCAAAGCAGACAGGTAAACTCGTTCTGCAATGCGATATCGGGCAATCCATAGATATTTCAGTTTGTGAAGCCGGTGCATCTGTTGTCATCGTTGCTCAGGATTTTAGATGTTTGTGGTTTGGTGACCGTTCGAATGATATAGGCCCTAACCCCAGTTCTAGTGAGGTGTTTTCCTCCATAGGATAGACTAAACACTATATTTCAAACAGGAACTTAAATTACTTACTTTCAGCTTCAGACTGTTTAACGTTGCATTGGATTTTATCATGTGCTTACAAGACAATGCAATACTCAGTGCATTTAAACGTTAATCAGTATAGGCCTACCATAGACCGATTGTACTGTCGTGAAGACAATTCAGAGACACGTTGGCCATGCCAGAACCTGTCTCTACACATTTTACACAAGTACTTGTCTGCCGCCTGCAATCGGGTTTGCATGTAGGGAGGGGCAAGGATGTCACCCTCATTCTTACCTGAACTTTAACCATTGTTAGCCACTGCACCTGATAGGTGTTGACATACAGAAGATAAGTCTACTGACTTCCTGTATAAATTATGCCCAAATAATTATATTACACCCAACATGCCCAATTTCCTTGTTACATGCAAGAATGCATTTGCGCAGCTGCCTGTCACTCAACTCATGCTTCACTGATAATGTGCAATGTTCCTCCAGTTTGCCTAGTCATTGTCTCATACTGCAACACAAATGCTTACTGATCCATAAATCATGTTGATAAGTTTTCATTCAGATTTGTATGTGCATCTGATTACCTTTAAAATGTGATACAGTACGATGAATACAGAATTGGTGCCCAGTACCACATGATTCCTATAAGAGCCAACTAATTAGAATCAGGGTTATAGCTTGCAACCTCGGGGCCTCGCAGTACTTGTTATGCATGCTAAACGGAACAAAATGCACTCACTTACCTTTATGATTATTCATGTTCTGTATATCAGATGTCATTTATTTTATTTAACTATGTGTTTTTTACCGCATATAATTTACAATAGTCGCGTCGAGAACTCCAGAGTATTGCGAGTAAGTTGTGTATGGAGGCCTAAGTCGGACAAAACAAGGACATACTTGTACCTGAGACCGAGTATGAGGATGTCAGACTTCAGTGATTCATCCAGACAAGTGCAAAGACAGCACAAGTAAAATTGTTGCATAGTCCCTGTTAAGGTGCAGGACTGGGAGTTGACTATTTGCTGGCTGTTCATGCTGTCAACCACTGGTTTGTGTGATCTAGACTTTATTGATTAACACCCCAATTTGGTGTGCACATCAAAAACCTATGATCGTTGATTTGAACCTGGTTCCTCTTGTTTATGTTTCTAGGTTTGTCAAAACCATACCTGTGCTCATGGCATCACTTTCAGCATTCCACCCACATCAAGATGACTCACCAGCACTAGAAACTAACACTTTTAGTCTACTAGTCCTTATCATGATAACATATAGCAAAACTCTTAAAAGTGGCAAATGTCTACTAGTCCTTATGATACCTTAACTATTGGGAAGTTTGGCAAGGACTATAGGACTAGTGCCAATTTCTAACGCTGCTCCCTGTGATATGACAGTAATTGAAATACTGTTAGAAGTGGGGTTGAACCAAATGATTCACTGTTTTCTCATCTTTACTCATAACTGACTTTGAAAGTCCAGTTTCCACCCTTGTCGAACAAGGCTGGAATTTTGTGACTTGAGCATAGAGCACTGCCAGTGGCTATCATGAGTTACATCCCTTTTATGTCCTTCCTATTTGACAAGTCAGATACCACCTCTCACATTCCTGGAATTTGCTTTAAACGAAATGGTGG